AGCTTTTCTGGTCATGCTGCAAGGTTTTCAAATCTTTCTGTTCTCTGCTTTTTGCTGTCAATGCTCCCAGTGAACCTGGGTAAAAGCAGTCAGCAACATCCATATCACTAGCTAAATGCCATGTTGCCTTCAAATGTCCTCTGCCATAATAGTTAACTCATCTCCTTTAAACTAAGTCTCACATAAAGTCTTGGCAAAATGTAAATATGTGCTTTGCCAGAATGTAACGTATATAGCCTCATGTCCAATTTCCAATAGAGTCCTTATTCCCATCTAAAACCTCATGAGCCCAGTCATTACTGTCTACATTCTTACCAAAATTTTGCTCTTCTAAGTTCACACCATCATCATGCATTTACCTCCACTTACAGCATTCTAGGGTTTCTCTAACCATCATCACTAGCCTTTCTAATCATTATCACCAACTCTGCCTGCAAACTAGTTTCAATGGTTTCTGAACAACATAGTATGGTATAATCACAGGAATGACAGCACTCCCTGGTGCTAGTTTTCTGTTAGCCATCTTTTCTTTGCCTGGACAAAATACCTGAGAATATCAACTTAAATGAAGAAGTTTACTTTGGCTCAAAGTTTTAGAAGTTTCAGATGGTCAACTGGCTCTGTTGCTTTTAGGACAATGGCAAGGCCGACATTTCACAAGAGAAGAACATGGCAGAGGGCTTTTCACCTCATAGCAGCCAGAAAGAAGAGAGACATCAAGATAAAGGGTCCAGAGACAACATAGAGTTCCTAAGGGCATGCCCCAAGGACCCCTCCCTTTGACTAGACCCTACCTCCTACAGTTCTCACAGCCTCCCAATTCCATTAAACAATGGAAATATGTTAATTTTTTAAACTATTAATGAGGTTGGAGTCCCCATGATTCAAATAATTGAATCAACCTCTCATAACCCCACTTCTGAATATCACTGCATTGGGGACCTAACCTTGAAAACATAAACCTTTGGGGGATATTCCAGATCCAAACCATAATATTTGACAGAAATACATTGAAATCTTGTGATATCAGAGGGGGCGGGTAACTGTGGTTAGGATTGCTTTGAGGTTAGGGGATGCTTGTGTATTCTACATGTATTTATACGATTCTTCCTTCAAAGCCTCACATCAATGTTACAGGTCTCCCACACAGCAATTCTGTTATAGAGATTAAGGACCTTAGATTTATGTCTGACTGTATTAACCCCTTTGCTATTGTTCAGGGTTGCTGGAGGTATTTTTCCTCATTATAAAGCAAGTTCACTGGGCACTGATTACCAACTTGTCTAATAAGTTTGGTGAGACAGAATATACAAAGCTTCATGAAGTAGATTTATTACTTATATAAGATGGGCAAGAGGGAAAAACAGAAGTCTTAAGAGTCAACGCTTGGGGCTGGGGATGTGGCTCAAGCGGTAGCGCGCTTGCCTAGCATGCGTGCGGCCTGGGTTCGATCCTCAGCAGCACCACATACCAACAAAGATGTTGTGTCTGCCAAGAACTAAGAAAAAATAAATAAATGTTAAAATTCTCTCTCTCTCTGTCCCCCTCTGTCTCTCACTCTCTCTTTAAAAAAAAAAAAAAAAGAGTCAATGCTAACTCGACTCCCCAAGATTCAGAAAAGTTGCCATGAGAAAATGGATCTTGACTGCATGTGCCCCATGAAAGTGATTCCAGAAAGCCACCCACACTATGTTTTATATGTCAGAATAATATGACTCAACTGGCAAGAGTGTTGAAGGATGTCCAGTTTCCACAGGGGACTTACTGGTCTTATTCTGGCCAGTGTCTTTTGAAATCATACTGTTGCACTTCTACCACATTCTACAGTTATTAAAAGTACAAGTGATAAAGCAGGGAGAACTGACCAAAGACCAAAAGGAATGTGGTCCCATACCTCAACTTTGGAAGATCAGGATATTTGTTCATACAGAGGCAAAGTCACTAACAACAGTGGCAGTGGAGGTATGAAGGGTTCTGGTGACCCATCTACTAATAGGTTTCTGGACCTGAGCATGCCACATGACTGCTTTTCTATTTCCTTATTACAGGCTGGGAATATCTCAGTGGTAGAGAACTTCCCTTACATGCAACCCCACCACACACACACACACACACCTTTCTATGGTGCTGGGGAGCGTGCGCACGCACGCACACACACACACTACAGAAGATATACTTTCCATTTCTACTCATGTAAAGTTGTGGGTTTCACAGGTATTGTCACCATCTAATCACCAGTAGTGTAGATCATCTGTATTGATAAGAGGTTACATCCAGGAAACCTGGATGAACTGGAGAACAGCAACTCAGCTTCAGAGAGTGCCACTCAATATTGTTGAGGTGAGAGTCCACATGTAGCCAGGTGTGGTGGTACACGCCTGTAATCCCAGTGATTCAGGAGGCAGAGACAGGAGGATCACGAATTAAAAGCCAGCCTCAACAAAAGCAAGGTGTTAAGCAACTCAGTGAGACCCCCTCTCTAAGTACAAAATAGGGCTGGGGATGTGGCTCAGTGGTTGAGTGTTCCTAGTTCAATCTCCAGTACCAAAAAAAAAAAAAAAAAATCGAGGGGGGAAACAAGAAAATAATTCACATGAAGAGACTCTATGACAAACTTTACATACTTGATACCAACGCTTTATTAGCAAAGAAAATAGAATAGACTTTATGAGCACCCAAAAGAAGTAGCTTTTACCATAAAAAAAGGTAGAGATATGTAATGCATGAAGATGATCCAAAACTTACCACATTAAGAACAGTAAGAAAATCCCAACAATTTGCTAAGACTCATTTTTCAATGGTCTATCACAGAAAAATCATATATTTATATAAAAATTAAACATACCTTATTAGAAGTACATTACAACTCACCTTCAGACTCAACACAAAAAATGATAGAAAAAAATTTTATTAACAAACTTTAAAAAAAACCCAATAACTATTGAACTTAGATAATACTGCTTAACAAGTACAGTCATGCACTGCCTAACATGTCAGTTAACAATGGGCCACATATCCTATGTTGATTCCATACCAACATAACAGAGCTTAAAAATGCCTATCACATAGTAAATGCATACTTAACAAAGGGGCAAGAGGGCGGAAAAAAACTCAGAAGGAGGAAAAAAAATCAGTGAAGGGTTTAGAAGAGAGCTGCAGTCCTCGATAAACTTTTCTTTAAAAGTTTGAAAACATGGACCCCAATAACCAAATGTTTTCATTAATAGAGAAGAATGTTCAAGGTATATTACCTGCTCACAAGCAATTCTATAATGAAAAGAAAAGAAACAAATATCCATTACATATTTATGAAAAATCTTGACACTTCCTGAAGAATAGTCTCAGTCAGGTCCTTCAGGAGGGATTCCAGGAAAAAAGCATCATCATAGAAAAGGAAAACTCTGTATGTGTTATTGTCCCTAGGGAATTTCCACTGGGACAGATGTTGAAATGGAAGAGAGTGATATTGGTGATCCTGACCCTGTGTAGGCCTAGGGTGATGTGTATGTTTGTACCTTAGCTTTTAACAAAGTTTAAAAACTAATAAATAAATAAATAAAATAGTAATATAGAAATTTATAGAATATGTAAAGAAAATATATTTACACAGCTGTACAAAGTGCCAAGATATGTGTTATCACAAGATTTTAAAATATTTTTTAAAAATCAAAGTTTATAAAGTAAAAGTTACAGCAACCTTAGGTTATCCTTGTGGAAAGAAAATATTTTAATGAATTTAGTATAATCTAAGTTTATAGAGTTTATAAAGTCTATAGTAGTGCCCAATTATGTCCTAGAACTTCACATTCAATCACAGATCTCTCACTGATTCACCAATAGCAACATCAAGTCCTGAAAGTTGTATCTGTGGTAAGTGCCCTTCACAGATGTACCATTTATTTTATTTATTTTGGGTACCGGGTATTGAACCCAGGGGCACTCAGCCACTGAGCCACATCCCCATCCCTATTTTTTGTATTTTATTTAGAAACAGAGTTTCACTGAGTTGCTTAGCATCTTGTTTTTTGCTGAGGCTGGCTTTGAACTCGTGATCCTCCTGCCTAAGCTTCCCGAGCCACTGGAATTACAGGCATGCACCATAGCACCTTGATATTTTTAAATTTTATATATAATGTTCCTACTGTATCATTTCTGTGTATGGGTATTTATACCCTTACTATCATGTTAAACATTGTCTATGGTATTCAGTATAACATACTATATAGGTTTAAATCCTAGAAGTAAATAGGCTATACCACCCAGCCTAAGTGTGTAGTAGAATGTACATGTAAGGTTCTTTACATAATGATGAAATTGCCTGACAAGGCATTTCTCAGAATGTATCCCATTGTTAATTGACACTAGTAGATCAAGAATATTCACCTCAATGTTTCTGGGCTAAAGGAATGGAAACTCAAGGGCTGGGATTGTGGCTCAGCGGTAGAGTACTTGCCTGGCACTTACGAGGCCCTGGGTTCAATCCTCATCACCACATAAAGACAAATAAATAAAATAAAACATGGACCCCAATAACCAAATATTTTCATTAATAGAGAAGAATGTTCAAGGTATATTACCTGCTCACAAGCAATTCTATAATAAAAAGAAGCAAATCCGCATTACATATTTATGAAAAAATTTGACTACAACTAAAAAATAAATATTAAAAAGAAATGGAAACTCAAGAGTCCAGAGACCCTCTCTCAGTATGAACCACTAATAAACATAATATAATCATAACTTCTGTGACATTTCATTCATATTGTGAAATTTGGAATATTACATAATAATTTGCACCAAAATTTCAATATTACTTGCACTTATAGGATTTCTTTTCAACTGATAGGATTTCTTTCTTTTCATGACATTGAAAATAAATATTAAAACAAAATTTTATTTGCCACTGGGCACAGTGGTGCATGTCTATAATCCCAGTGACTTGAGAGGCTGAGGCAGGAGGATAGCAAGTTCAAAGCCAGCATTAGCATCTAAGCAAGACCCTAAGCAACTTAGTGAGACTAGGACTAGGGATGTTGCTCAGTAGTTAATCACCCATGGGTTTAATCCCCAGTACCCAACAAAACCAAAAAAAAGTTTATGTGCCAACTACTGGGGGTTTCAATAGAGAATGCATGCTTATATGTATAAGGTCTATTTCCAGCATGCATTATAATGTGTCCTTGAATGGATGTCAGAGAAATGAGGATATTCTTACATTCCACACATTTATAGGAATTTTCTCCAAAACAAGTTTTTTCATGTCTTCAAATGGACCTGAAACAAATGACTACTTAACACATTTCTTACATTCATAGGGCTTTCCTCCAGTTTTCAAAGAGAACTGGAAAAACTGAAGTCTTCACCAGTTTTTAATAGTTATGGTATTTTCCTCCATTGAGTTGTTCATGCATTTGAAGGGAATTAAAGTCTGACAGCTTTAACCACATTTACATTTTTTCTCGAGTATGGGTTTTTGCATGACTTTGAAGGGAACTGTGAAATCTGAAGGCTTTGCCACACAGTTTACATTCACAGGGTGTTTCTCCAGTATGAATTCTTTCATGGCAACGAAGGGAATTGGAACTACTGAGAGCTTTACCACATTGTTTACATTCATAGCGTCTTTCTCCAGGGTGATTTCTTTCATGATATCGAAGGGAACTGGAACTACTGAAAGCTTTCCCACATTGTTTACATTCATAGGATTTTTCTCCAGTATGAGCTCTTTCATGATATTGAAGGGAACTAGAACAACTGAGCACTTTACCACACTGTTTACATTCATAGGGTTTTCCTTCAGTATGAATTCTTTCATGTTCTTGAAGGTAGTTGTGACATCTGAAGGCTTTACCACATTGTTTACATTTATAGGGTTTACATACAGTATGAGTTCTTTCATGCATTTTAAGGGAACTGGGAAATCTGAATGCTTTACCACACTGTTTGCATTCATAGGGGTTTTCTCCAGTATGAATTCTTTCATGATATCGAAGGGAATTGGAAATAGTGAAAGCTTTACCACATTGTTTACATTCATAGGGGTTTTCTCCAGTATGTATTCTTTCATGATATCGAAGAGCACTAGAACAACGAAGAGTTTTACCACAGTGCTTACATTCATAGGGTTTTTCTCCAGTGTGAGTTCTTTCATGATATTGAAGGGAACTAGAACAACTGAGCACTTTACCACACTGTTTACACTCATAGGGTTTTTCTTCAGTATGAATTCTTTCATGTTCTTGAAGGTAGCTATGATGTCTGAATGCTTTACCACATTGTTTGCATTCATAGGGTTTGTATCCACTATGAATTCTTTCATGCACTTTAAGGGAACTGGGAAACCTGAACGCTTTACCACATTGTTTACACTGATAGGACTGTTCTCTGTTATGAGTTCTTGCATGAGATCGAAGGGAGGTGGAGGAACTGAGAGCTTTACCACAATGCTTACATTGGTATGGTTTTGATTCCTTGTGAGTTCTTTCATGTTCTCGAAGGTTACTGTTGCGAGTGAAGGCCTTACCACACTGTTTACATTCATAGGGTTTCTCTCCAGTGTGAGCTCTTTCATGCCGTAGAAGGGAACTTTGATATCGGAAGGCTTTACCACATTGTTTACATACACAGGGTTTTTCTACACTATGAACACTTTCATGAAGTTGAAGGGAACTGGGACAACTCAGTTCTTTACCACACTGTTCACGTTCATTGAGTTTTCCTTCAATGTGAGTTCTTTCATGTTCTTGAAGGTAACTGTGACTTCTGAGAGCTTTATCACATTGTTTACGCTCAAAGGACTTGTCTTCAGCATGAGTTCTTTCATGTACTCTAAGAGAACTGGAAGAACTGAGTACTTTACCACATTGTTTACAATTGTAGGTTTTTGCTTCACTGTGAGTTCTTTCATGTATTGCAAGAGAATTGAAAGAACTAAGAACTTTACTACATTGTTTACATTTATAGGGATTTTCTTCATTATGAGATCGTCCATGTCTATGAAGGGAACTGGAACAACTCAGAGTTTTATCACATTGTTTGCATTCGTAAGATTTTTTTATACTGTGAATTCTGCCAGGTATTTGAAATGAATTAGAACAAAGAAAGGTCTTCCCACACCGATTGTCATCAGAGGGTTTGGCTCCAGTGTGAGTTTGTTGATGTATTTGAAATGAACTGGGGGAATCAAAGACTTTCAAACACAACTCACAAGTATAAGAGCCTTTTATCCTGTGGGTCACCTTATGTCTTCCAACACTTCTGAGAGAAATGAAGGCTTTCCCACACTGTTCACATTTATATGGCTTCTCTCCATATTCCTCACACTCAAGTGCCTTGTATCTGGAGTGAGATTTCAGGTGCCCCTTAAGGGATGAATGACACAGGAAAACTTTTCCACACACACTGCATTTACATGGTTTTACTCCAGCAGGAATTTTCTTGCTCTGATTAAGATTTAAAGCCTGGGTGAAGGTTTCTCCACACTGTCCACCTTCTTCACTTTCACAGAGTCTCTCTACCACATAACTTCTATAAAAAATGACAAATGCATTAGCAAGGGTTTAACTATTATTACCTATCTATTTAATTAGTAAGTGCTGGAGTTCCATGACTCCCCAAATCAGGGAAAGTGTAGGAGTTTTTCCATGGCTGAATGACTTAAAAGTAAATGGATTACACTGAAACATGAATCCCACTTAGCTATTTTCAAAACAGTGACATTCATGCCTGCAGGTGCTTAGTATTGTTTACAAGTGAACTGTTTTGTGAACATATTTGTTACATTTAAGTAAATATTTCTGGTGAAAACTTTCTAATGATAAATAAATTTAAAGTTGTACTTATCTATTTAGTTTGTTTGTTCTTAAAATTCCCTGACATACTATGATTCTCTCAAGGGACTTTGATTTCTCTTGTGCATGCAAATTACCTCAAATTTCTCCCATAATTTTTGTACTGATCTTCAATGTTCTGATCTTTCCATTTGTTTCCTAAAATGGGGATACAAGAATTATGACATTAGAAATTATTTAAAAATTGTCCAGGAAATGTGCTACACACCCATAGTCCCAACCAGTAGAAAGGCTAAAGCAGGAGGATCGCAAGTTCAAGGCTGGCCTGGGCAACAGTGAGACACTGTCCAAAAAAAAAAAAATGCTGGGTGGTGGGAGAGTAGTTCAATGGTAAGTAGAGTGTCCTCCCTGGGTTCAATCCCAAGTACCAACAAAAAAATTATATGAAAATTATTATTACTTTCTTGGTTGAGTGTACACTATAATGATTCCTATGCCTATGATCAACTCACCAAATTTTTCCCTTTTCACATTCCAAATCACAGAGCAGCATGCATGACCAAGAAACACTTGTCCTCTAATTGACTAAGTAAAGGGATGATGTCATTCTTACCCACAGAAGCCAGGTTCCTGAAAGTTTCCAGCATTACATCCCTGTAGAGATTCTTCTGGGAAGGATCTAGCAAAGCCCATTCCTCTTGGGTAAAGTCCACAGCTACATCCTGAAAAGCCACTGAATCCTAAAATATTCCACATACATGTACAAGAGAATGAGTCCAACTGACAACACAGGATCTACACTCAATTCATAAAAGGTTCACATGATTCTATGGTTTCCAAACATATACTCCATGTCTTGGTCATGAGAATTCTTGTCCATAGATGATACTCCCTTCCACATAGAAGTTCTAATTCTAGAATTGAGCTATTCAGAGAGAGAACAGCACAGTTGGAACATCCTCTCATTAGTGGGCTCAGGGAGTAAGAAGTGCTGCTAGATCACCCTAACTTGTCTTTGTAGAACTGGTTTCTGTCATAACAAAAAGTTAACATTAGCAGTCCTAAGTCTGCTCACATAGTTCAAATTTTGCTAGTATCAGGGAACTTGGAACTTGAAGTAGTTCACCAACATAAATTATAAAAGTGCTTCACTGTGACTACATGATTTATGTAAACACTATAGTCCTTTCTGAACTCCTGTTTTCCTTCTGAATGTCTATTTGTTCCATGCTCACTGTGGTACCTAGAGGATTAGACCCCACTGTGTACTGAGTCTTTCAAGCTTATTACCTGGTAGACACTATTTCATGCATGTTTTAACAACTTGTCCATTGGGAAATTGAACTCTTCCTATGTATTTACACCAAAAGAGATCATTTGGGAACTTGCAAGCACTTAACATCAGCTAAATTTAATAAAGTACTATGAAAAATTATCATTATGTAACGATCCTAACAGAACAATTTTTAAATTTATATTAGCATTGTCACCAGAATTATATCAGTGTTTAGATGACACATGTTCTTAGAAAAAACTCAATATAACCAATTTGATATCACCTCTTCCAAATCATACCTCATAAAACATAAATCTTTAAAACATACTCTTCAGTAATCAACAAAAACTGCTTTTAATAACCTAAAAGAATAACAAATGCCTAATAATGACCAAAGTCTTCTGAAAAGAGGGTGATGGCTTGCCTCACATACATTAAGGACTTTCAAACCTAATATTCAAAGCAGCCTAGTATTAGTAGAAAACAAATAGCCAAAAGGAAAGGAGTTTTCCATAAGCTGGCATAGAGTGGCACTTTAGAGCAGAGTGAGAAATCACAACCATTTTAAAACATGGGGTAAGGTAAACTGGTCTCTGCTTGAAAAAAAATGCATTGCATTTCCAGTTATTCCATGGACAATGTGATCAGACTAGAACACATGCATAAATCAAAGACAAATATTTCTTGAGTGGAATAGATAGGATATTTCATACATATTTATATAGAGTGAAGAGTGGGAGATTTTCCATGCATATTTATATATTTATGTTTTGAAGAATGGGAAGTTTTGTAGTTAGCACATACTGGCTACTCCCTACAATGAACTGAATCAACAATTGTGCAGCTGCACAATGAGAAAGGGGAACAGAGAGCAAGTTCTGAATTCCAACTCAAGAGTCAGTGAGCGGTTGAGGAACAGGAACACTGGTTGTTTAGAATTATGAAAGAGTTTAAAAAAGAAGAAAGAGAAATAGACTTCCATCAGTGCTGAGCACATGGCTGCTCCATGAGGGAAGGGAAACTCCTCTCCAGAGAGCTGGAAAAGAGAAGAATCTTAAAGATTTCAAGAAAGGCCACCTCTAGATCTGGAGTTGTAGCTCACATATATGAGGCACCAGGTTCAATCCTCAGCACCACAAAAAAATAAATAAGCAAAATAAAAGTATTGTGTCCATCTACAACTAAAAATGTTTTTAAAACAAGAAAAGGCCAACTCTACTATCAGGCATGTATTTGGTTTGAGCAGAACAAAGATTTAAATACTGCCTAACAATAATGATGTGGCTGAATAGCATACCTGCATTCCCAGGTACTTTTTTTTTTCATACCATTTCTGTTTATATAATATGAAGGATATTGCCACAAAATGGAAATTGTTATGTATAAGAGAACAAAGTTTAGAATATCATCTGACTTCCAAATATCTTTTTTCTTTCATATTATGGGAAATTTGGTTTTTTTTTTTTTTTTTTTTCTTTAACTCTTTTTTTTTTTTTGATTGTTCACAACATTACAAAGCTCTTGACATATCATATTTCATACATTAGATTGAAATGGGTTATCAACTCCCAATTTTTACCCCAAATGCAGATTGCAGAATCACGTCGGTTACACATCCACAATTTTACATAATGCCCTATTAGTAACTGTTGTATTCTGCTACCTTTCCCATCCCCTACTATCCCCCCTCCCCTTCCCTCACATCTTCTCTCTCTATCCCATCTACTGTAATTCATTTCTCTCCTTGTTTATTTTCCCATTCCCCTCACAACCTCTTATATGTAATTTTGTATAGCAATGAGGGTCTCCCTTCATTTCCATGCAATTTCCCTTTTCTCTCCCTTTCCCTCCCATCTCATGTCTCTGTTTAATGTTAATCTTTTCTTCCTGCTCTTCCTCCCTGCTCTGTTCATAGTTGCTCTTCCAGGTACTTTCTTCTGGACTCATTGAGAGCTGAGAAGAGGATACTCTTAAAAGGGACATCACTGTCTAGGTTGCATGAGAGATGAGAAATCCCTGCATGGTTTTGTTTGGTTGGTTGGTTGGTTTTTGTTTTTGTCCTCTCTCTTTTTTCTCTTATTTTTTGAATCCCCAAGACCCAACAACCTCATGCTAATTTCTCCCTCCCCCCAGTTTGGTTAATGTGTGCCCAATCCAAAAATCATCTGAGGATCAGGAGTGGGACTATGGCATGAACCCACTGGGAGCCCTAACCTGTGAAAGGTTGATGATGGGACATCTGAAACTGGCAGTTTGGGTTTACACAGGACTATACACACCAGTTGCACGTTGAGACAATTTAAGTCTGTCCAGATCTCAAGCAGTGGAATTTGTCATGGGACTTTCAGAGCCACCTGGGTTGCACAGGGCAAGAATAGTAGGATATTCACAGGGGTACAGGTGTCCACACCTGTTGCAGTCACTGGGATTCATCATGTGAAACTTTCAGAGTCACCCTAACATCCCTGGAGAAGGACAAAGCAAAGTGTGTTGTGAGTCCCAGAGATTTAAGTGTGCACACACACTTGCCAAAGCTGCTGGGTATTCATCACATGGACTTTCAGCTGCTGGGTACTCATCACACAGGTTCTTCTTCCTTCTTTCTATACTATATTACTCTTATTTCCCCCCCTTTCTTTTCTCTCTCATCACTTTTCCTTCTGTCTCTCCTACTTCCCTCTCATTTTTCCTATTAATTTTGTTTGGGTTTCTTTTCGTTTTTGGGTTTACTGTTTCTTTGGCTTATATGTTCTTTCTTTTTTCTTTGAAGTAATGTGTTCACTGGGTTTATTAATTTCATCTTTCTCTTCTTTTTCTTCTATCCTCTCACTCTATCATTTTCTGCTACTTGCTTTTTCTTCTTCTGTCTCTTTTTCTTCCCCAACTTTTTCCTTTACTTTTCCCTTTTATATCTCTTCTTCTTTCTCTTTTGTTTTCAAAATTTTAATTTTTAAATTTTTTTAGCCTATTACAGGTTATTACTCCAGTTTCTAGTTATGGACTATGGAGTTATAGAAAATGTTCTTAATAAGTATTTATGGTATATTAGTATACACTTAGCTTTCAAGTAATGACAGTTGCAATGTGGGGCCAGAAATTGATCAAAGGACAGTGAACATGTTCAGCGGGTCCTTTGACAGAAATAGATCCCTGGCTCCAGACATATAGTAAAGAGAAAGCAGTTTACTAAAGAGACTTCCATAAAACAGTAGGGGAGACATTGGTTCAAGCAGATTGAATGGAATACTCGACCATTGTTTTGTCAGGGCATGAATACATTGTTTCAAGCCCTCCTGGACTTCTGTGTTTCTGTTGAGAAATCTGATGTTATCCTCATTCATTTTCCTATAATTGTGAACTGGTGTGTCTCTCTTATAGCCTTTAAAATTCTTTCTTTGGTCTGGATTTTATGGGGTTCCAACTGGATATAAATTTCAATACAACAATATAGAAATACAGGAAACATGAGAAAACCAAGAAATAAGATGCCTCCAAAGGCATATAACTCCCTATAGATGTCCAAGTGGATAAAATCCCAAAGAATTCAAAAACTTAAATAGTTAAAATAATCAATGAATTAAAAGAAGCTCAAAGAATGAATAAAGGTAGGAAAATATGGGATATGAAAGAGTATTTCAATAAAGAGAGAAATTCTGAAGAAGAATCAAACAGAAATATTGAAAATGAAAGAATAAAAAGTCTCTCCACTAGACTGGATCCATTTCAATCCACTGGGATGCATTTCGATCCATTTAATCCACTAGATTAGGTCAATTTCAAAGTAGAAATCTCTTCTATTTCTTGGTGTGATCCATTCATTGTTCAAAAGTGTATTGTTCAGCTGGGACTGGTAGCACACACCTGTAATTCCAGCAATTTAGAAGGCTGAGGCAGGAAGATTGCAAGTTTGAGGCCAGCCTCAGCAACAATACCAAAAGTTGGTTCTTCAAAAATATTAATAAAATCATTAAACATACAGCCAAGCCAAAAAAAAAAAAAGGCAAAAAAAATGAAAGAGGAAATATCACTACTGATTCCATGGATATTAAAGAAGATCATAAAGGAATATTATGAAATTTCATGACCACAAATTTGGTAACTCAGATAAAAGGGGCAAATTCTTTGAAAGGAACAACCTATCAAAAGGCACATGAGGAGAAATAACAATATGAATCTGTATTAATAAATTGAATCAATGACTAGTAATACTCCAAAAAAGGAAGAACTAGGCCCAGATGATCTCACTGGTAAATTCTTCCAAACATTTAGGGAAGAACTGACACCTGTTCTCTAGAATTCCTTCCACAAAATAAAAGCAGAGTAAACACTTTCTAATTAATGCAATAAGGCTAACATTACCCTACAACAACCCAAGACAGAGACATAACAAAAAAGGAAAACTACAGAAGATAGATGTAAAAATCCTCAACAAATGTTAATAGATTGAATCTTAAAATGTAATCTCAGGGACTCCCAGGCTAAAGCAGGAGGATCACAATTTCAAAGCCAGCCTCCAAAACTTAGACCCTATCTTCAAAAACAATAATAATAAAATGGATTGGGAACATAACTCAGTGGTGGAAGGCCCTAGGTTCAATTCCCACCATTCAAAAAGTAAAAATTAAAAAAACAATTAATGACCCATCACATCAACAAACTAAACAACAAAATTCATATGGTCATACCAGTAATTGCAAAGAATCACACAGCAAGAAAAGAGAGGGAAGGTGAACCATTAAAATTGAGAAGGAAAAAAACTGTCCATAGATGACACAACTGTCTATGTAGAAAATTCCAAAATCAACAAAAAACTCAAGGACCTAATAAGATGATATAGCAAAGTTATAGAATATGAGATTAATATACAAAAGGCTATCATTTTCCTGCATAACAGCAATGAATAACTGAATTTGAAATTAAAAATACAGCACCACTTACACAGCACCCCTTTCATAGCACCAACAATAAAGAGAAATATTTTTATATAAGTCTAACAAAGACCTATATAACAAAAACTACAAATTTCTAGTACAAATATGGAAGAACCAAATAAATGGAGAGATATTCCATGATCATAGATAGGACACCTCAATATTATTAAAATGTCAGTTCTCCATTTTAACTATGAATTCAACACAATCCCAATAAAAACATTGACAAGTTAGGTTATCAATAACTAAAAAACCTAAAGGTTGGATGGAAAGGCAAACAAAACAAAAGAAAAAAACAGAATGGTCAAAACAATATTGAAGAATAAAAAGTACACAGGATTGACAGGATTGGCCTAACTTTAAAACTTAATATAAAACTACAATAATCAAGAGGAAAGAATAAATATAGTTTGACCAAACAGAAAACCCAGAAATTAACCCACAAAAATTGGTCAATTGATCTTTGACAAAAGAGCAAAGGAAATTCAATGATGAGAATATGGTCCTTTCAACAAACGATACTGGACCACCCGGACATCCATATGCAAAGAAATACAGGAGACCCACACTTAAACGCAAAGTGGATCGTAAATCTAAACGTAAAATGCAAAGTTTAGAACTTCTAGGAGATAACATCCAGAAGCAAAACGACCTTGAGTTTGGCAAGCAATTTTCTGGATCTAAAAGCAGGATCTGTGGATGAGAAACTGTTAACCTGGACTTCACCTGAATTTCGGTTTTTCAAAAGACAGAGCCTCCCGGGTCCCCACCGCACAGTCCGGGGAGACGCGGGCTGCGGGCACAGTGCTGCCCGACTGCGCTCCGGGGCTCCGGGACCCCGGGCAGGCCCAAGCGGCC